AAGATACCTGCTGTCCCTGTTCACCAAGCAGTAGAAAAATAGGTAAAGGTACCTGGGTGTTAGTCGACTGGTGTGGATCGCATCCTGGGGACAAAAATTTACCTAATTTGCCCGAAATGCTCAGCATTGTTAACAAGCGTGTTAGATAGGAGTGAATGGAGACGAATGGTACTTGGGACCTGACGATCTGTTGGAGTGTGAGCAGGGTAATATTTAGTGAAGGGATTCAGGGAAACCGGTTATTTTCATATAGTCGGACTTGAGTCCTGGAAATGGGAAGTACAATGCCTGCACTTTAAAGGAGGGGTTTGGGATATTGGCAGTTTGGAGGGATATGTTGTGTATCTTTATATGTGTATGCTTCTAGACTGTTGTGTTCTGAGCACCTCTGCAAAAACAGTGATAATGTGCGAGTGTGGTGAAAGTGTTGAATGATGAAAGTATTTTCTTTTTGGGGATTTTCTTTCTTTTTTGGGCCACCACTGCCTCGGTGGGAGACGGCCGACTTGTTGAAAATATAATTTTATATATATATATATAATATAATATATATATATATATATATATATATATATACATATATATAGGTAGTAGGTTGGTAGACAGCAACCACCCAGGGAGGTACTACCGTCCTGCCAAGTGAGTGTAAAACGAAAGCCTGTAATTGTTTTACATGATGGTAGGATTGCTGGTGTCTTTTGTCTGTCTCATAAATATGCAAGATTACAGGTACGTCTTGCTACTTCTACTTACACTTAGGTCACACTACACATACATGTACATGTTTATTTATACACACTCATCTGAGTTTTCTTGGATTTTATCTTAATAGTTCTTGGTCTTATTACTTTTCCTTTTATATCCATGGGGAAGTGGAATAAGAATCTTTCCTCCGTAAGCCATGCGTGTTTAAAAGTCAAATAAAATGCCGGGAACAATGGGCTAGTAACCCCTTTTCCTGTAAAGATTACTAAAAAGAGTAAGAAGAAGAAAATTGTCAAAGTGGGAAGTCTGAATGTGCGTGGATGTTTTTGCAAATGAATAAGAAAGAGATGATTGTGGATGTTATGAATGAGAAGAAACTGATGTCCTGGCTTTAAAGTGAAACAAAGCTGAAGGGGGTGGGAGAGTTTCAATGGAGAGGAATAAATGGGATTAGGTCAGGGGTTTCAAATAGAGTTAGAGCTAAAGAAGGAGTAGCAATAATGTTGAAGGATAAGCTATGGCAGGAAAAGAGGGACTACAAATGCATAAATTCAAGGATTATGTGGAGTAAAATAAAGATTGGATGTGAAAAGTGGGTTATAGTAAGCGTGTATGCACCTGGAGAAGAGAGAAGTGTAGAGGAGAGAGAGAGAGATTTTGGGAAATGTTGAGTGAATGCGTGGGGATTTTGAATCAAGTGTGAGAGTAACGGTGGTTGGGATTTCAATGCTAAAGTGGGTAAAAATGTTAGGGAGGGAGTAGTAGGTAAATTTGGGGTGCCAGGGTAAATGTAAATGGGGAGCCTTTAATTGAGATAATGTTAGAAAGAAATTTGGTAATAAGTAATACATATTTTATGAAAAAGAGGATAAATAAATATACAAGTATGATGTAGCACGAAAATGAAAGTAGTTTGTTAGATTATGCATTGGTGGATAAAAGGTTGATGGGTAGGCTCCAGGATGTAACATGTTTATAGAGGGGCAACTGATATATCAGATCATTATTTAGTTGTAGCTACAGTTAGAGTAAGAGGTAGATGGGAAAAGAGGAGGTGGCAACAACAAGAAAGAGGGAGGTGAAAGTGTATAAACTAAGGGAGGAGGTAGTTCGGGCGAGATATAAGCGACTATTGGCAGAAAGGTGGGCTAGTGCAAAGATGAGTAGTGGGGGGTTGAAGAGGTTGGAATAGTTTTAAAAATGCACTATTAGAATGTGGGGCAGAAGTTTGTGGTTATAGGAGGGTGGGGCAGGAGAAAGAGGAGTGATTGGTGGAATGATGAAGTAAAGGGTGTGATAAAAGAGAAAAAGGTAGCTTACGAGAGGTTTTACAAAGCAGAATGTTATAAGAAGAGCAAGTATATGGAGAGTAAAAGAAAGGTGAAAGAGAGTGGTGAGAGAGTGCAAAAGGAGAGCAGATGAAAGAGTGGGAGAGGCACTGTCAAGAAATTTTAATGAAAATAAGAAAAAATTTTGGAGTGAGTTAAACAAGTTAAGAAAGCCTAAGGAAAGTATGGATTTGTCAGTTAAAAACAGAGTAGGGGAGTTAGTAGATGGGGAGAGGGAGGTATTAGATAGATGGCGAGAATATTTTGAAGAACTTTTAAATGTTGAGGAAGAAAGGGAGGCGGTAATTTCATGCATTGGCCAGGGAGGTATACCATCTTTTAGGAGTGAAGAAGAGCAGAATGTAAGTGTGGTGGAGGTACGTGAGGCATTACGTAGAATGAAAGGGGGTAAAGCAGCTGGAACTGATGGGATCATGACAGAAATGTTAAAAGCAGGGGGGGGGTATAGTGTTGGAGTGGTTGGTACTTTTGTTTAATAAATGTATGAAAGAGGGGAAGGTACCTAGGGATTGGCGAGAGCGTGTATAGTTCCTTTATATAAAGGGAAAGGGACAAAAGAGATTGTAAAAATTATAGAGGAATAAGTTTACTGAGTATACCAGGAAGAGTATACGGTAGAGTTATAATTGAAAGAATTAGAGGTAAGACAGAATGTAGAATTGCGGATGAGCATGGAGGCTTCAGAGTGGGTAGGGGATGTGTAGATCAAGTGTTTACATGAAGCATATATGTGAACAGTATTTAGATAAAGGTAGGGAAGTTTTTATTGCATTATGGATTTAGAAAAGGCATAATGATAGAGTGGATAGAGGAGCATTGTGGGCAGATGTTGCAAGTTTATGGAAATAGGTGGTAAGTTACTAAATGCTGTAAAGAGCTTTTATGAGGATAGTGAGGCTCAGGTTAGGGTGTGTAGAAGAGAGGGAGAATACTTCCCGGTAAAAGTAGGTCTTAGACAGGGATGTGTAATGTCACCATGGTTGTATAATATACTTATAATGGGTTATAAAAGAAGTAAATGCTAGGGTGTTCGGGAGAGGGGTGGATTAAATTATGGGGAATCAAATTCAAAACGGAATTGACACAGTTACTTTTGCTGATGATACTGTCTTATGAGAGATTCTAAAGAAAAATTGCAAAGGTTAGTGGATGAGTTTGAGAATGTGTGTAAAGGTAGAAAGTGAAAGTGAACATAGAAAAAGAGTAAAGTGATGAGGTATCAAATGATTTAGATAAAGAAAAATTGGATATCAAATTGGGGGGGAGGAGTATGGAAGAAGTGAATGTTTTCAGATACTTGGGGGTTGACGTGTCGGCGGATGGATTTATGAGGATGAGGTTAATCATAGAATTGATGAGGAAAAAAGGTGAGTGGTGCGTTGAGGTATATGTGGAGTCAAAAAACGTTATCTATGGAGGCAAAGAAGGGAAATGTATAAAGTATAGTAGTACCAACACTCTTATATGGATGTGAAGCTTGGGTGGTAAATGCAGCAGTGAGGAGACGGTTTGAGGCAGTGGAGATGTCCTGTCTAAGGGCAATGTGGTGTAAATATTATGCAGAAAATTCGGAGTGTGGAAATTAGGAGAAGGTGTGGAGTTAATAAAAGCATTAGTCAGAGGGCAGAAGAGGGTTGTTTGAGGTGGTTTGGTCATTTAGAGAGAATGGATCAAAGTAGAATGAAATGGAAAGCATATAAATCTATAGGGGAAGGAAAGAGGGGTAGGGGTCGTCCTCGAAAGGGTTGGAAAGAGGGGGTAAAGGAGATTTTGTGGCGAGGGGCTGGACTTCCAGCAAGCGTGCATGAGCGTGTTAGATAGGAGTGAATGGAGACGAATGATACTTGGGACCTGACGATCTGTTGGAGTGTGAGCAGGGTAATATTTAGTGAAGGGATTCAGGGAAACCGGTTATTTTCTTATAGTCGGACTTGAGTCCTGGAAATGGGAAGTACAATGCCTGCACTTTAAAGGAGGGGTTTGGGATATTGGCAGTTTGGAGGGATATGTTGTGTATCTTTATACGTATATGCTTCTAAACTGTTGTATTCTGAGCACCTCTGCAAAAGCAGTGATAATGTGTGTGGTGAAAGTGTTGAATGATGATGAAAGTATTTTCTTTTTGGGGATTTGCTTTCTTTTTTGGGTCACCCTGCCTCGGTGGGAGACGACCAACTTGTTGAAAAAAATATATATATATATATATATATATCATTGATGTCATCGAGGCCTGTATACCTTATACATGTAGAAATAAAGATTATTATTATAATATTATTATCATTAACGATGACAAATTCCATAAATGAGGAGCCCAGAAGCACTAAAAAGGTTCAAACATTATTTGGAATAAAAGGGAACAAGTAAAATGGAGAGTACTGATGCCAAATAGCCTAACATTTAAAGTATAACCAAGTATTCGTGGAAAATGACAAGAAAAAAAATCCTTTTGATAACTTTCAAAATAAGAGATACTTCGTCAATGATCATACTTTTCAGAAGACCTTGTTCTTCTTTAGTTTAACTGAGTAAGTTTAACTAAACTGTAAGTTACCTGGAGAGGGTTTCGGGGATCAACGCCCACGTGGCCCGGTCTGAGACCAGGCCTCACGGTGGATCAGGGTCTGATCAACCAGGCTGTTACTACTGGACTGTTACCTGGGAAAGGTGTACCAATATTGGCTCAGAGAGAGAGAGAGATGGAAGGGTAAATAATAAATCAGTAATATATCATGTTTGGGATATAATAATTTGGTATTTGAACAATTTGATATTTGAACCAGTTAAAGACCATGAACGTTGTCATTCATCAATATCAGGGCCATTATCATATTAATGATCTATCTCAGGTTGCATCATATAAAAATATGAGCTTATGCTCTTCTTCTAATAGAAAATTTACCACATGAAATATACTTTTTTTAATGTTCAGTGCTGGAGTTCGATGTTGACACAGACTGGTGCTGGAGAGTATAAAGGCCGCAGGTGGCCAGTATTTCAGCAGTCCAGGTCCAGCTTCGTCAGGAGTTGGACACACAATATACGGTGCTCTTGCTACTTCCACACCTGATGACGACCATAGTGTTGGTGATCCTCCTTGTGGGTAAGTTTGTTTGTAGAATATCATATTCGTGAAAAAGTTCTACACCCATAAAGAGCGTGGGGAATGGACGTCATCAGGTTAAATCCAAGGATGACGATAATTCTACGGATGATCAACCCTTCATGACCTTGATATCAAGGACCTTTTTCCCTTTTTTTAACAGATAAATTTTATTTCAAAGCCCGAGCTCTTATCTAAAGTATATTACCCTACCCCCCAGGGTGCGGCCCACACCAGCCGTCTAACACCTTGGTACCTACTTAATGCTAGGTGAACAGAGGCAGCAGGTGTAAAGAAATATGCCCAACGTTTCCACCCGTACTGAGGATCGAACCTTAGATACTCAGTATGTGACCTAAGTGCGTTACCAATAGAGCCACGGGACACCTTTTCCTTCTTAAAGGACTAAATTTCTAAAATGTTTTCATTAGGCGTATATTTTTTACTGACATATACTTGGAAAAAATTACGAAGATAGATGATTTCAAAATGTTTAAAGGCGATCTTTGGTTCCAAAAATCTGATACTTTTTCTGTCATAGGGGCGTGTGTCGCCATACCACCCGGCCGTCCAACAGACAGCATCAGGTTCGTTCGGCAGACAAAACCTTTACCCCGTCCGCAACACCCACAGATCTCGCCCACACCCCCTGCTGGCTACCAACCCAAGCCCCAGGTAGATCCAACCCCGCACCCAGGTCATGTCATCCAGACTCTACCAGCACATCCAAGTTCAAAACTGACCAGGCCTGCTCCACGACCCTCGCGACACCAACGTAAGTACCAGACATCACTTCGGCTTCACTATTATTATTATTATTATTATTATTATTATTATTATTAAAACCTGTAGGTATCATACAGCGAAGGGAAAAATAAGAGGAAATCATGTTTTAAGAAAGAGTAAGACGACTTCAGCTCCTTGGATCAAGAGCCCTTCACTGGCTTCAAGGCATCCCTTTTGAAAAAACATTAAGAATAGCCTGATAAGAACCCATACCCAAGTGAAGTGATTTTTTATTAATGATAATTTTATTTCAATTCGTCATACAAAAATATGCACTAACATAAAAGCCAAAGACGCTATAAACTATGACCAATTTATAACTGGCGCCATGAATTAACTAAATATATGAAGCATCAAAACTATACAAGGATAGTATGATTTACTAATCGTTCGAAATAAAAATTAAAAATAAACATTAAATTATTTTGCAGGCAGCGCAGACGAAGTTCGACAGGGAAGTGTTCCTACCACCGCAATAGGCAAGCCCCAGACTCTGCCTCCCAAGTCCCAACTTACAAAACCAGCTGTACGGCCACAAACTCGTCCAGCTACTCTTCCTGGGAATCTGGCTAAACCTGCTCAGCGATCCAAGAGTCTTGAAGACAGCAGCTTCGCTCCTCTTCCTACTGGGCCCATTGTGGAACCAAGACCTTCCCCAGGAGAACTGACAAAACCAGCTAGTCGCCCCATTGTTGATCCCATACCTCCCGCAGGAGAACTGACAAAACCAGCTAGTCGCCCCATTGTTGATCCCATACCTCCCGCAGGAGAACTGACAAAACCAGCTAGTCGCCCCATTGTTGATCCCATACCTCCCGCAGGAGAACTGACAAAACCAGCTAATCGTCCCAAGAGTGTGGATAGTGGTTTTGCTCCACTACCTACTGGACCCATTGTAGAACCCAGACCACCTCCGGGAGAGCTAACAAAACCAGCTCCTCGTCCTAGGCCTCGTCCAGGGGACTTAACAAAACCAGCCACTCGTCCCAGGCCTCGTCCTGCGCGTCCCGCACAGGCATAAAGTTTCGTCTATCCCGACGTCTCATTTGCACCTGATAAGCGATAAAATCAGAAAAGGCCTTGCAGTTACTTTCTAAATGTGAACTGGACACGACTCCTGGTTATCTAGACATGTCAGGCAGTTTCGTGTCCCTTAACCTACAGACATAACAATAACTTTCCTAGAAAATAACAACCTACAAAATGGCCTCCTCCCTAGATTTTAGTCTTGACTGAAACAAAGTTATAGTCTGGCTGTAACATTTGTCTAAAACCTTTTGACAATTACTGGTCATATTTGACCTTTTATAAATGAACATCTGGTACAGTACAGTAGTAGGTTACTTTTTGTATTTTATGTCAAATACAAACCTTAAAACTAGACACCTTTTTTGTCCAGATGAACGTGATATAGGCCTACTTAAATATAATATGGCCTAAACTTCACCCATTTTCACTGTGTCTTGTTTGATATTGTATTTATTGCAATTTGGAACGTATTTCATAAAATAAATTCTTAATCACATTTATGTATTTGTCTTGTTATATTCTAATTAAATAAATTATTTAATTAGGATACGTAGAGAAATTAAAGGCATTAGACAGTACTTACAGTGCATCAGAAGTAAAGAAATGGGTCATAGAGCTAGGAAATATCAAATCTAATTTTATACAGTGGTTAAGTAAACAGACACTGTAAGTTGCATAATTTATCGGTTATTGACAAGAGTCCCAGAAGATAAGATTTTGTTCGAATTTTTAACTCCCTAGGGCCTAGGGTTAGCCACCCAAGAGAGGCAGTGCGTCATTGAGGACTGTCTGTCTTATTTCCAATTGGGTCTTCGATCTTGTCCCCCTGGATGTGACTCACACCAGTCGACTAACACCCAGGTACCTACTTACTTGCTAGGTGTAATCAAACCACGGACACTCAGTGTGTGAAGTGAGCACGGGAGCAGGAGCTCGACTCCCGCAAACTTGACTTAATAATTACACTACTATATAATTACGCTATCGTGTGAAATGAGCAGCGACCTACAAGATGTATTGGAAGCTGAAACAATACACAACTTTAAAAGTATTAATTAGAACCCTAAAACAATATGCTAAACCTACTGTTATACCCTGACTTTGCTCTCTGTAAATAATGCTAATATTTGCATTAATAACTCATTGCAATTGTGACCAGGTGTAGACGTGCGAATGGTTCATTACCTTTGTAACTTGTGCAGCTATCAAAACTTTGCCGCTCAGTCCCTGGACCCATTATGTAACTTTGTAATTTTTTTGACTACCGCCCACAGGATGGGTATGAGGTGCATAATAAAGATAATATATATATATATATATATATATATATATATATATATATATATATATATATATATATATATATATATATATATATATAGAGAGAGAGAGAGAGAGAGAGAGAGAGAGAGAGAGAGAGATAGATAGATAGATAGATATATAGATAGATATGCAGAACCACCGTGAAAAGTCTAGTAAACTTCCAAGTGCTTTCTTGATTTCTCACATTATCAAGGAACTGTAAAACTGAAACATCAACAGGAAAGTATATAAAGACGAGATTACACCTCGTGGTCAACTTACAACACACACACACGTCTGTGTGTGTACTCACGTAATTGTACTCGCCTAATTGTGGTTGCAGGAGTCGTGTCATAGCTCCTGTCCCTGGTCACTCCCTGCTAAGTAAGCTTTATCATACCTCCCTTTCCAGACTATTCCACTTCCCGACAACTCTATGACTAAAGAAATACTTCCTAACATCACTGTGACTCATCCGAGTCTTCAGCTTCCAATTATGACCTCTTGGTGTGTTCCATCTCTGAAACATCCTATCCCTGTCCACCTTGTCGATTCGTCTCAGTGTTTTATGTTGTCCCCCCAATCCCTCCTGTCCTTCCGTGTCGTGAAGTCGATTTCCCTTAATCTCTCCTCGTAGAACATGCCCCTTAACTTCGTGACTACTACAAGTATATGCACATGATATACAGGCCTAGCTGACATCAATGACATACTACTATATAGAAAGCCCCTTGTTATATTGAGCATTTCAAATTCAATTCAAATTCAAAGTTTATTCTCTATAAGGATTACAATGCTGAGTTTACAGAATTTGGTTATTGTGTGGTTTACATGTAGTAAAATAATAATTACAGAGTGTACCACTAGAACACCTAGCATGGCTAGGCATTTCGGGCAGACTTAAATTAAATCAGTATGCGACCCATACCAGTCCACTAACACCCAGGTACCTATTTTACACTGATGGGTGAACAGGGACAGCAGGTGTCTTCTGGAAACACGTCCCTAATGTTTTCCAGCCGTACCGGAGGAGAATCGAACTCCGGACCTCAGTGTGAGCTGAGTGCGCTAGGGATCGAGCTACGGGACACCCTAAATTAATTATTTTATAAGCGTACATGGGAACTGGAGCTTTAAAAGCCCTCGTACAATTAATAAATAGGCTTAAGTCTAACAAACTAATGCAAGGGGGATCACTGGCAAGAAACTATCTCTAGTAAATAGCACAACATAAACAAGCAAACAGAACCATAACTAATTCCAACCAGGAATATTAACTAAAACTCAAGATTGCTGCTATTAAGGCTGTACATACCAGGTCCCAAAGAAACACTGTAATTTAAACATTTAGGACAAGCGATATTTGTAAGGGTTATACAACGCCTGGGGAATGGGAGGTGTGGGAATGGTAATCAAGTTTAATGATAAGGGAACAATAGCTTTAATTCCCTGCACCAAGAGCGCTTCACCAGTTTAACAGGCCCTAGGGGCATTTCATTATACAAGAACATCAGAATGAACATTGCAGCACGCCTATTGGCCCATGCTAAGCAAGCCAACTCTCACTATAAATATATGTTACTCTACCTGTTGTACTCTATCCAGTTCTTAAAGTATAATGCCCTCTCGTGAAAGTATAATTCACCTGTTATTATAACACTTAAAAATATAACTCCCTTCCCTAAAGGTACAACTCGCATAAATTCCATCCTTTGAATATCTTTCACCGAAGGTACAACTCCCTCCCGTGAAAGTATCAGACCCTCTCTTAAATTATAATCACAGTGAAGCGGTAAACCCTTAAAGGTCAAACAGCTATGCACCCTCTCCTAAAGTATAACTCCCTTAAAAAGAAAAAGACATACCGCTATACCTTATTAATTCTACACTTGCAACTACATTAACTGCTTACGCTATGAAGCAGAGGGTTGGACGGTTAGAATAAGTTGCTGTAATAGTCAATTTTGATTTATTGTTATATATTACGAAGGAGCGCTGAACCAGTGGAAATCAAAATGCGCCCTAGGAACTTGAAAATAATCTGGTTTGAGTCAAGGAAAGGAAAGTAGCTCCAGTTCCTTCGATCGTGAGCCTTTCACCAACGTCAAGGTATCCTCTCACATTCCCCCCCCCCCCATCACCAACGTCAAGGTATCCTCTCACATCCCCCCCATCACCAACGTCAAGGTATCCTCTCACATCCCCCACCATCACCAACGTCAAGGTATCCTCTCACATTCCCCCCCCCCCATCACCAACGTCAAGGTATCCTCTCACATCCCCCCCATCACCAACGTCAAGGTATCCTCTCACATCCCCCACCATCACCAACGTCAAGGTATCCTCTCACATCCCCCCCATCACCAACGTCAAGGTATCCTCTCACATCCCCCCCCATCACCAACGTCAAGGTATCCTCTCACATCCCCCCATCACCAACGTCAAGGTATCCTCTCACATCCCCCCCCATCACCAACGTCAAGGTATCCTCTCACATCCCCCCATCACCAACGTCAAGGTATCCTCTCACATCCCCCCCCATCACCAACGTCAAGGTATCCTCTCACATCCCCCCATCACCAACGTCAAGGTATCCTCCCACATCCCCCCCATCACCAACGTCAAGGTATCCTCTCACATCCCCCCCCACCATCACCAACGTCAAGGTATCCTCTCACATCCCCCCACCATCACCAACGTCAAGGTATCCTCTCACATCCCCCCCATCACCAACGTCAAGGTATCCTCTCACATCCCCCCACCATCACCAACGTCAAGGTATCCTCTCACATCCCCCCCCACCATCACCAACGTCAAGGTATCCTCTCACATCCCCCCACCATCACCAACGTCAAGGTATCCTCTCATCCCCCCCCCACCATCACCAACGTCAAGGTATCCTCTCACATCCCCCCCACCATCACCAACGTCAAGGTATCCTCTCACATCCCCCCCCCCACCATCACCAACGTCAAGGTATCCTCTCACATCCCCCCCCACCATCACCAACGTCAAGGTATTACCTGGAGTTTTACCTGGAGAGAGTTTCGGGGGTCAACGCCCCCGCGGCCCGGTCTGTGACCAGGCCTCCTGTGGATCAGCGCCTGATCAACCAGGCTGTTGCTGCTGGCTGCACGCAAACCAACGTACGAGCCACAGCCCGGCTGATCAGGAACTGACTTTAGGTGCTTGTCCAGTGCCTGCTTGAAGACTGCCAGGGGTCTGTTGGTAATCCCCCTTATGTGTGCTGGGAGGCAGTTAACACCGGGCCCGACACTTTTTGATGGTCTTTTAACGTGCAGTGACACCCTGCTTTTCATTGGGGGTGGTCATCCTGCCAAGTTTTTTGTTTTCGTAGTGAGTGTTTTTTTCGGTGTAAGTGGGTACTATCCCTCTAGTTTTTTCAGGGAAAATAACATGTATCTCTCCCTCCGCTTTTCCGGGGAATACAGTTTAGAAACCCAGGCGCCCCCATAATTGGGGGGTTTTTATCTCCGTTATGCCGCCGTAAAGTTCTCGTACATTTTCTAGGGGGGAAAATTTCCCCCTCCTTGAAAGGTGTTTTGTTAGGGGCAGCAATATTCCCCCTAGATAGAACAAGTGACCTGAAATGTCACATGGGCTTGGCCTCCCTATTTTTGAAGTTCTCATTATCCTCCTGTCATTTTTTCTAGCAGATCTTTGAACAAGTTATGGTCCTTGAAGGGAATCCTCCGACATAATCCTCCCGGGTTTTTTGACTTTGGTTTTTCGCTCTATTTCGTGGCCAGAATTTGTTTTGTACTCTGAGAAGATTTAATTTCCCATGTTTACCAAAACTGAGTAATTGAAATTTTCTCATCGTTGAACTTTAATTTTTTTCTGCAGCCCACTGAAAGATTTGGGTTATGTCCGCCCGGACCTTGCAGGGCTGCAATGGGGAAACACTGTCATGCAGATTCGGTGTCCCCTCTGCAAAGGGGACACGGGCTGTGGCTGACACCTTGTCATGTCGATATGAGGATGAGAAACAAGAGGAGCTAAACTGGCCTGTGGAAAGAGCTTTTTTTACCGTAGCTGCCTCGGACTTTACTCTGTTGACGACTACTCCTTGTTCTTTTAGTGAGGAAATTAAGATCCATCACCCCACTTTTCCTGTTATCCCTTTAAAAACGCGCATTTTTTGCGCTATTACGCCAGGGCACACTTGTCGAA